GATGTTTTTATATTATTTTTGGGTAACATTTAACATTTGTTTTCTTTTCTTGTGTTTATTTTTATTGTATGTAGTTACTTAAAAAAATTCTTTCCTTTTTTTTCTTTACGTTCCTTTTACTGTTTACTCAGTCCACTACTATATCTCTTCTTCCTTTTATCTTGCAAGTTGCAATGTCCTGCCTCATCTCTTTATTTATTTTTCTAATTATATCACACTAAATTTATTCTATACTATTAGAAAAAATTCACTAATATCTTTTTTTTTTAATCTTGCTATTTCTTGCCTCATCTATTTATTCACTTTTCATTTATAAAAAAGAAAAAGAATAAAATTAGAAAACTATACTTCAGACATTATTTTTACAATTTACAAACTGAATGTTAGAGGACATTTAGATGTTTCTCGATCTTTGGTATATTGAGTTTCTAAATAGAATTCTATTGTACAATTTTGGTAGATCCGTTGATATAATTTTCGTTGGTATAAAATGATTAAGCTTGCACAAGTATATTCTAATGAATTCATTTATATAACAAATCAAAATTTTGATTTATCTGAAGCAGTGAATCTTCTTGTGGAATGATTCTTTAATTTTGTTAATTTACTTTCATATCCTCTTGTCTGACTTCATTTGTACAAACAAATAATTTTTTATTTATTTGAGGCAATAAAACTTTTCAAAAATTCAATTACCTGAAGAAGTATATCTTCTATTGCAATAATCGTTCCATTTCGTCAACTTACTTTTTGATTATGTGCTCTCATGTATTACTTTTTTGCAATGAAATTAGAATTTTATTGGTTAAATTCAGATTATGTGCTTTCCTATTTTATACTTTTTATTTGATTGTAATAAATTATTGACAACCATTATAATTCTTCATACTCTATTAGAACAATAAAAATATCATTTATGTAAAAAAATTACATTTTAGATTAAAGAAACTTAAAAGGGAATATTATTAATAGTTAACTATCGGTGCAACCTAAACCTATCATTAATATCAGGAAATCATTTGGATTCAAACTCAACAATTGAAGAGTTTCTAGCACAATATCACTAGTGTATTGTGATGATGTATGAACCTAGGATTTGTACTATGTCGTTATGAATTATTCTAAAAATATTTATACGTAAATCTTCTTAAAATATAAAATTTAAAATCTTAAAATAATAATAATATAGCTGCAAGATAATTAAATTCATTTTTTTTCCATTTCAATTTATAATTTTTTTCTTTTTAATTTCTCATATTTTTACACTAAAAATGAACGGAAAAAAAATAAGAATAAGAAACTCAAA